TCCAGCTCAGAAAAGAAATCGCTTATGGAAAGAGAATGATTATCTTTACAAAATCATATTTTAATGGATTCGCAGATGATTTGCAATACTACAAAACAAGTTTGGGAGTCTCTGCAAAAGCAGTATGACACCGAGGAAGCTAGAACAAAGAAGTATGTCGTTAGCCGCTACCTAAAGTATCAGATGGTATAAATGAAAGGTGTGTGGAGACTCAATGTTATGAACTTCAAAAGATTGCTTATAAGATCATCACAAAAGATACATGTTTAGATGAATAATTTCAAATTGCTTTTATTATTGACAAATTGCCCCTAATTTGAAAGTTTTTAGAAATTCTGCTTCACTATAAAACAAAAGAATTTTTAATTGAGAGTCCAATTATTCCCCTTTAAATTGAAGAAGAATCTCAGAGACAAGATCAAAAAGAAAAGTCTTGGTTGTTTTAAACAACAAAAATAAATTTGGTGTAGTTCTGAAGATATTTGGCAAATTATTAAGGAATCAGAACCACAATATTGTGAACCGAATTAAGAATGAGAACCCTTCAAGGGCCCCAATTACTCCAATTGATAGGAAACAATCACCGTCATAAAGAAATGACACTAGTGCTTTCTCTTGCTTCAATTGTGAAAAACTAGGTCATATGATTAAGAAATGAAATATCGAGTTTAAACCTTGTGTTTTCCTTAATGCATAAGTTAACCTGATTGATGGGCAATTGACTGCTTTGATCACTAAAATCAACATGATTGGTGAATCTGATGGTTGGTTGATGGACATTGGCTTCTCTTATCATGTCTGTTATGTTCGTGCAATGTTTAAAATATAAACGAATACGAAAGTTTTGTTGGGAGTTGTCACACTAATAATGTTATCGGTATTGGAGAAGTGGAATAGTGTCCACCTCTGAAAAGACTTTAATCTTGAAGGATGTCATGTATACTTTAGAGATTATAAAGAATCTTGCTTCTAATTTTCTTCTAAATAAGGTAGGGTTTAGTCAGTATATTTGGGGTAGATTTGTACACATTCGCTAAAAATGATATTTTTGTGAAATTACTATGTTTAAGACTTTTGTTAATGAAATTGAAATTCAATTTAGTAACAAGATTAAGATACTTCATAGTGATAGGTGAACTAGATATTGTTTTAGTTTATTTAGTGGATTTTAAAAATAACATGAAATTGTACATGAAACAACAACACCATACTCTCCTGGAATGAATGGTAAAACACAAAGAAAGAATGTAACTCTTATTGAACTTGTTATTGCAATTATGTTGAATTTTGGTGCTGCTCCTCATTGGTGGGGGGAAATTTTGTTGATTGTTTGCTATGCCCTTAATATAGTTCTCAAGTCAAAATGTAAGATCTCTCCTTATGAGATATTAAATAAAAATCAACCAAATTTGTCTTATTTAGGAACTTTGGGCTGTTTGACTTTTGTCAGAATTCTGGATCTGAAGTGAGTCAAACTCGCTAGTAGATCCTATGAATGTGTATTCATTGCGTATGCAGCACATAATAAATCATATATGTGTTATGACCTAAATGCTAAAGTGATCATAGAATCGCGTGATGTTGAATTCTATGAAGACGAATTTCCTTTCAAATCGAGAAATAGTGGGGGCACTGAATCAAATCACATTTCTGTGATAAGAAGCACTGAAGTCATCAACAAAGTAGAAAAAGAGCTTCGACGAAGTAAATGAGTAAGAGTTGTAAAAGACTATGAGTCTGATTATGTGACTTATACAATAAGGAAGATCCAACAAATCTTCAAGAAGTCTTGCAATCTCCGAATGCAGATTTATGACAAGAACGATGAGATAGATTGTCTAGAATATAACAGGACCTGGAACTTAGTAGACTCGCCTTATAACCAAGGGTTTTAGGCAAAGAAAAAATATAGATTTCTTTGATACTTTTTCTCTAGTCACCAGGATCACATCCATTAGTGTAATAATTTCAACTACTGATATTTATAACTTAATAGTACAACAAATGGATTTAAAGACAACTTTTTTAAATGATGACTTAGAAAAAGAAATCTATATGGACCAACTAGAAGGGTTTGTGATTCATGGACAAGAAAAAAAGGTCTGTAAGTTAGATAAGTCTCTACATGGTCTAAAACAAGCTCCAAAGCAATGACATGAAAATTTTTATAACTTAATGATATTGAATGAGTACAAAGTGAATGAAAGTGACAAATGCGTTTATTACAAAGTTGAGAATCGCATTTGCACTATCATATATCTCTATGTAGATGATCTACTCATATTTGGATCAAATATTCAGGTCGTTAATGATGTGAAATCATTGTTGAGTAATAAATTTAATATGAAAGGCCTTGGAGAAGGAAGTGTGATCCTTGGTATCAAGATTACGAGATCCGAACAAGAAATTTCTTTGGATCAATCACATTATGTGGAAAAAATCTTAAGGAAATATAAATACTTTGGCTATAAACTTGTGTGCACACCATACGATCCAAGTGTGGAACTGTTTAAGAACACTGGTGAAAGTGCCAGACAAATAGAATATGCGAGCATCATTGGCAGTCTTAGGTATGCCACTGATTGTACTAGACCCGACATTGCATATGTCGTAGGCTTGTTGTACAAGTTTACGAGTAGACAGAGTAATGAGAACTAGCAAGCTATTGAGTGATTCATGAGGTACCTTTAAAAGGACCATGGACCTCAACCTACATTATCAAAATTTTCTACTGTACTAGAAGGGTATTGTGATGCATATTAGAACACCTTATCAGATGATTCCAAAGCTATTAGCGGCTATATATTTGGTATAGATGGAGGAGCTATATCTTGGAAATCAAAGAAACAGACTATTATAGCTCAGCCCATAATGAGGTCTGAGATGATAGCACTAGCCACAACTAGTGAATAAGAAAGCTTGCTAGCAGAGATTCCTTTATGAGAAAAACCTATGTCAGCTGTGTTGATCCACTGCGATAGTACCGTGACTATTGGAAAAATTGAGAATCATTATTATAATGGTAAAAGATGTCAAATAAGAAGAAAAAGTAGCACCGTCAGAGACTATATCTCTAAAGGAACTATAATAGTGGATCATGTACGCACTGATGAAAAATTTAGCAGATCCTATGACAAAAGAATTAGCTAGAGAGGAAGTCTATAATACATCCATTAAGATGAGGCTAATACTTATATAAAAATGAGTTGCTCATGATGATAACCCATGCTAAATGACTAGAGATTCCAAGAAATAGGTTCAATGGGTAATAATAAGTTGTGAGTAATATGAGGTGATCATGCGAGAGTAAATAAGAAAAGCATGAATCCTGAAGCGATAAGAGGATGAGATAATAGAAACTCTTACTCAGATTTATACTTTGTATGAAGGAGTACCTAGGCTACATGAATACTCTTGATAGACTCACCTATGTGATTGTGAAATTTAGGTCGCTTCTTATGGAATTTTGAGGCAGAACTCCTAGAGTCTTCACTAAACTAGGATACACGTGCAAGTCCATTAAAACACGAGCTATTAAAATACACCTTAAGAAAAAGTTGTGTGCAGGTTTGATGTTTGAGAGAGAGTTCAAGACAATTGTGTCACTCTTGTTGAATAAGAATCCTAATTGTTAAGCAAAGATTCAAGTCGTAGTCACCTTTGTTATGCACAATCTTAAAAACGTTTGACGTTACTTCTGAATACTTTTTTAAATTCAAGTGGAGATTATTGAAACATTATGTCAATATTCTAATATAGGGAGATGGATTTGAAAAAGTTTCTTAAGTCAAGTCTCACATTGTGTGTTAGTTGAAAAAACTCATTAGTCCCACATTGCTTATGTAAGATATATTTCCTTCCTCACTTTATTATGTAAGAAAATTCTCTATTTCATTCTAAAACACACCAAAAACTTATTTTGAGTTTTTCCTTCCTCATTCTCACAACTCTGCGTCTTTCGAATTGTCGAAGCGTCAACTTCTCACCTTTTCTTTCTACTCATTGATTTTTTTCGAGTATTTTTTTGAATTCTATTTTAGAGAATTATGTTAATTTCTCCTCGTTTGAGTTGAGAATTTATAAGTATTAATTTTTGGATTCTCTTTGGAGAATTATTTGAATTTCTTTTTGTTTAAGAAATTATTTTTAGTAGTCAAATGACCATTATTTAATTCTCTTTCGAGAATTATTAGAATTTGTCTTGGTTTGAAAAATTATTATGACTGATTGTTATACCAGATACTACCAATGATATTTATATCATATTCGAATGGTCTTTGTACAATCAGATGGTGTATTTCTAAACCGATTATCTATCGTGCAAGTAGTAATCGTACAATATAGAATTGTGTTGTGTTATTCTTGAAGCGGAACGATAGATCGACTGTTTTGCATAACTTTAAACTGTGTCGTAAAACATTTTAAAGAGAGCGGATAATTCGCGACTCGATCTTATAATTTCTTCTGGCACTAATTTTCAAAAGTGTTTTCTCAAAATTATAAAAACAAATAACAAGCAGTTGCAACTCAAGAGAATTTTACATTAGTTATTTTATTAACAAATTCAACAATTTTATAATATGAATTAAAGTTCTATATAAAATTTTTGAAGAAGTGAAAGGTGTGTAAGAAGAAGCGGAAGACTTATCATAATGGTTTATTTTAATGTCATGTTGTCCTTGTTGAAGTCTGCCGCAAGACTTTTCTGCAATATGTGAACCAGTTGGGAACTTGGTGATATGGCTTTAAGTTTAAAGGACTAGTGGATACACTAATGATGCTGAACTATGACGACATGAACAAAACATATTTAATTATCAAAAAAGAAAAGAAAAAAGACAAACAATAACAATTTTATTGCACATTTTTTCATTATTATACAACCGGTCATTCTCCAAGTGGAGAACACTGACACACCACATATTTATTATTGCAATAATAATCCATACAATAAAAACTTATTCCAACACCTTCCTTAGAAAAAACTAAAACATTCTTTCTCACTTATTAGGCACCTTAACATAACCCACATGTGTAGCATTTGCAACCCTAGTAAGAGTTTGCAAATCATAAGCTATCCAACACCTTGAATTATCCTTATGGTAAAAATACCCAACACACTTACAATCCTTTGTGCATTTACTTCCACAACCATCCTCACTGACTCTATCACCAATACTATATTTGCTCATATAATGTTCAACTCCTTCAATTTTATAGTAATGAAACTCACTTTCTTTGCACACCCCTAAAGGCTTAGGACTACACTTATTGCTCCAACCAAATACTCCATTCTCTAATGGACAACCAACACATTGATTATCCTCACATAGCCCAAATTTCCCACATCTCTCTGGTAATTGACACTCACTCTCATCAAAGTCTCTATCAAAGAGAGTGTATGTAACTTTCCAAACACCGTCACGAACGTCGAGAAAATATGTGTGAAACTTAATGTTACCATCAATTCCAAGCCTAAGATATGTTAAGGTACTATTATTCACTGGCCTACCAAGAAATGTATCAAATCTAATATCAAAAGACTCTGAATCAGATGTGAGTGTAACATTTTCTAATGACTCTTGTCGAGAGGAAAACCAATAGAGAATTGGTTTAGGTGAGTTTTTGCTTTTGTAGTATAAAGCCAAACCTTTGGGCTCCAAAACTAAACTATAAGGCCCATCAAGATTTTCTTTCTCCGAAAGCCGGCTAATGAGCTTCGACGGCCCGTTGGGCTTTAAATATTGATCCACCAGAAGAGTATCCGTAGGATGATCAAAACTTTGCCAAATGAACTTACCTTTAGCATCAATTAAAACCATGTTACCATTTGGGAGTAGCCTAAAGGCAACAACACCTTTGTTAGAAGTGTTTGTTTGCCAAACAATTCTTCCATTAGAATTTGCTAACTCAAGGTTTCCATTAGTAGTTAATGAAAATGTTGCGTTTTCGTCGACCGGGTTGCCCCGGTTAGCTTCCCAAACCCACCGGAAAAGTTGTTCGGATCGTTGGAGTCCGATTCGTAGGGCTAGAGTGTAGGAATTTGGTGTAGTGTTGTAAAAACCAACTTGGAATGGTGCATTGAATATGCTTATCATTCTGTAATCAGCTCCATATTCTACTATGTATGGTCCTAGTTCACCTGAGTTAACGAATTTGAAGGTTTCATTTTGTGGAACTATGGCTTGAGCTAGGAAGGTGGAAAAAGATAAGAATAATAGAGTGAGAAGTGGAAAAGACATTGTTGTGGAAGTTTTGAGAGATGAATGTGTTTTGATACGTAGGTGGATTGTATTTATAGTAATTAATGTGAGAAGTTAGAGGTAATTTAGGGCATGTTTTGGTCAAGGTTGTCAACTCAAATACTATATAGAAATTAATAGATTTAGATCTAGGACAAGAATAGCAAGAGATTAAGATTATTTTTTTAAAAAGTGATCATTATTGATATTAATAAAAATATTATTAAACAAAGACCTATACATATTTTGGTGAGAATATGCCAACTGTAATATGTCCACGACAGTCAGAAAATGATATTTAATGACCTGTTTGAATTTTATTTTATGACTTGTTTGAGTTGGTTGAACGTGGTAGTATCAATGATTCAATTTTTTATTTTTATAATGAAGTGGACCATAGCCCAATTTATTCGAGTTTTGGATAAGATAAGACTGGTGGAAGAAAAATCAATTAAGTTCAAAGTTTTTCTTTTTTCAAAGTTCAACAAATAATCTTTTTGAACTAAGTAGAACCAGAATCCATAATCTCTAATTAAGATGAAAAAAGATTCTTTATCATCTCGGATTATTAGGTAGCAAGTGCTTTCTAATTACTTCATTTTTTTTTTAAAATATTAAAAGAACTATTTAAAAAACCCACGAATAAAAAATAGGTATATTTAATATCCAATAGATTTTGAATACAACTTTTAATAATATAAAATAGAAAGCCTTTAAGAATAGTTTGTTAAAAGAATATTAAAAATATTTATTTATATTTTAAAGAAGCAGTGAACTTTTTAGGTAAAAACTCACACATGTTCTATTTTTTTAAGGACAATAAATATAATTTTTAAGAGGATGAATTTTTCATTCTAAAAAAATATATTGATGTTTTTTTTTATTTTTTATAGTCAAACACTCATATTGATTTGGAGTATTAAGGGTACTCGAATCCAATAAATATAAATTAGTATATAAGAACACTTCTAATCCCTAAGACCATCTCTAGCGGTGATTTTTCATTCTTGTTCGCCAGCCTGGCATATTTTGTTTGCATAAAATATTTACTGAAATGCATCCAAGTTGGCGGACGTTGCAGTGTGAAGCAACGATGCAATGCCTGAAGCAACCGTACGACACAATTATAATATATTAAATATAATAAAACAATGTATTAAAATATAATAAATATAATAAAAACTAGCCGTTTCAACCGCTACTTATATTTTTATTTTATTTTTTTAAACTTATTTTTTATTATAAATATAATTTTGGTTTTCAAAAATTTACCAACACAAATTTCTCTCACTTTTATTTTTTCTTTAATTTGAAATTTCTCTCTCACAATTTCATCATTTTATTCCTATACTTTTAATTTGTTTTCAACAATTTTTTCTCTTTAGCATTTTTTTACAAAATATTTAACTCAAAATTTCATCTTTTTACTTCAAGTTACAATTGTTTAGGCCAAATGGATCCTAATCATTTTCATTATCAACAAGCTTTTTTCAATTACATGCAAAATTCTCAAAATTCCACCGGTGCCAACAAACCCCGCCATATTTCTTTTGTCACAAACAATCCAAATATGTATCCTATACCTCAAATGAATTCTAATAGTATGAAACTCTCTACTCAAGTTCCACCATTTTCTACTCAAGTCCCACCATTTTCTACTTAAGTTGGTACTGAAAAAGAAGTAAGGGTTGTCGTTAAAAAAAGATCTCGAGAGCAATTTACAAGGGAAGAGGATATACTACTTATCCAATCATGGCTCAATGTTTCAAAGGATCCAATTGTGCGAGTTGATCAAAAGGCTGGGAGTTTTTGGTTAAGAATTGCTGCTAGTTATAACCAATATCGTGGGCAATTGCAGGAAAAGCTAGGGGGACAGTTAAAATGTTGATGGCATAGAATAAATGGCATGGTTCAAAAATTTGTTGGGTGTTACAAAATTGCTCTTAAAGGAAAGAAAAGTGGGACATCCAAGACCGATGTCATGGCAGATGCACATGCTATTTTTGCTCAGGATCAAGGTACAACATTCAATCTTGAGTCTGCAAAAATAACAAAGACTTATGCTAGTGGGGCATCATCGGGGAACCCAGATACAACTTCATGTTATGAGTTTAACTCATCATCACCAATGGAGCGTCCAATGGGACAAAAAGCAGCAAAAAGGAAGGGTAAGGCATCAGAAATTCCAAATGCAACGCAAGATGCAAAGAATAAAAGAGCAATAACAATGGACAGACTTGCGCAAGCTAAGGAGGACGAGCTAGAATTAAAGGTAGTGCAAATGATGATGAAAGCCACTTCTACTATGAATGATATTCAACGAGATATTCATGAAAAATATTGTAATAAGATGAAAAACAATATGGAATATAGTTAGTATCACTTATGTAAAATGGTCATTAGTACCACTTTAATTTATCAACACCTATGTAAAATGGTCATTAGTACCACTTTAATTTATCAACACCTATATAAAATGGTCATTAGTACCACTTTAATTTAAACTAGCCGTTACTCAAACTACCACTTTAATTTAAACTAGTCGTTATTCAAACTAGCCGTTATTCAAACTAGCCATTATTCAAACTAGCCGTTATTCAAACTAGTCATGATATATACTACCACTTATGTCATTGTTCTCTCATTCTCATCTTATTCTTCTCATTTTTCTCTCATTCTTTACTCACTAAATTGATTCAGACAATTCAGATAATTACGATCAGGAATTTTGGGAGTTGGTTGAAGAAGAATTTATGGACGACAGTGATGAAGAACAACAACTTCAAAATGAACGTCGATTTGGAAGTTCCTCTAGGCCAAAGAGAAGAACAACGGTAGATCGAGGTCGTGAAGAAGGGCACAATCGATTATTCAATAACTACTTCTCAGAAAACCCAGTATACACAGATGTTCAATTCCGAAGAAGGTTCAAAATGCATAGGCATGTATTTCTTCGAATTGTAGATGCCCTTGGAAATCATGATGAATATTTCCAAATGAGGGTTGATGCAACAGGTAAAATGGGTCTTTCACCATTGCAGAAATGTGCATCTGCTATTCGTATGCTGGCGTATGGGTCTCCTGCTGACCTTGTAGACGAATATGTTCGAATCAGTGAAAGCACTTCAATTGAGTGCTTAGAAAGATTTGTTAAGGGTGTCAATGTTGTATTTGGCGTTGAGTATTTGAGAAAGCCTAACAACACTGATGTTGAACATCTTTTACAAATGGGAGAGTCACGTGGCTTTCCAGGTATGTTGGGTTCCATCGATTGCATGCATTGGGTATGGAAAAATTGTCCTGTTGCATGGAAAGGACAATTTTGTCGAGGTGATCATGGTAAGCCCACAATCATGCTTGAAGCAGTGGCATCACAAGACTTATGGATTTGACATGCTTTTTTTGGTATTGCAGGTTCAAACAATGACATTAATGTGCTAAACCAATCCAACGTGTTTAACGATATTTTGGAAGGACGTGCCTCCAATGTGCAATATACAATCAATGGGACACCATATAATATGGGGTATTATTTAGCAGATGGTATATATCCCGAGTGGGCTACATTTGTCAAGACTATTTCAATGCCATAGGGAGAAAAGAAAAAATTATTTGCTCAACATCAAGAATCGGATAGAAAAGATGTGGAGCGAGCACTTGGAGTGCTTTAATCTCGATTTACAATTATACGTGGCCCAGCGCGTGCCTGGCACATGGACACTCTCAAGCATACCATATATGCCTGCATCATATTACACAACATGATTGTGGAAGACGAACAACATACATATGGAGGTAATTTTGATTACTCTTATGATAATGTGGATATCAATAACTCAACAACTGAAATATTTAGCGGTCCTCATCCAAATCTTGTAACAAGACTACAAAGAAGAGCAAGTATTCAAGAAAAACAAGTTCATCGTAAACTTCAAGGAGATCTAGTCGAATATATTTGGGAACGTTTTGGACATGAAGATGATGAAATTTAAGTTTGATTAATTATGTGATGTTATTTATTTTTATTGTTTTTAATTATATACCATGTATTTGAGATTAATTTTAATTATCATTTTAAATTATAAATTTAATTTTTTTTTTATTTTATATCAAATTTAATTTAAAATACTAAAATTAACTAAGGAGAGATTGAAATATTTTTTTTAAGTTTAATCTAATTTTTTTAAGTTTACATAGTAGAATGAAATATTTTTCCTTAAAACAACACTATATACCCGTTGGGCTATATAGTAGACTGAAATAATTTTCTGTAAAAAATTAAAATTAAAATTTTAAGTGATATAAAATTTAATATAAATAAAATATTAAATATATAAAGTAAAGTTGTGGGACCCAATATGAGTTCTTCAGAGTTGCACCATTGGAGTGAAAAATTAGTTAAGTTGCTTCAAGCTGACGTGGCTTAATAGGTCGCACAAAGAATCCAAAAATGGGTTCACGGTTGGAGATGCTCTAATGAATCAATTACAAAAAATTAAAAGGGCATTTGAGTCAGTCATAATAAAAACACCTAGAATAGTGTTTATTCCTAAAAGGCAACCACCACCAGTATGACAGAATAATTCTTTCGACAATTACATCAGAATTACCCATTTCATCATTGAATAAAATTTGACTCCGCAGAAGCGAGATACACGAACAAGACATGAACCAGATTATGCAGGCGTTAGGCTTAGCACATTTCCCTAACATTACAACCGCCCATTGGAACAAATGAAGGTAGCACTTATGCTCCAATAGACAAGGAACATCAACCCAGACCATTATTTTCTCCATACTAAAGATATTTTAGAACAAGAGAAAAACAAGTGGTTATTGGCTTCCTCGCTACGAAAAAAAACGCAAACTTTGTCGTGGTCGCTGTAATTATCCCTCTGCACACGAGATTTTGATGAGGAAGCAACTTGTACAACAACACACGCCATGCAAAAATCTGGACTTTGAACAGAATTTTGGATAGCCACAACAGTTTTAAGGTTGTTTTACGATCAACCTTCAAATTGGGCAAAAAGGAATTCAAATGAATGGAATGATAACAAGACTTAACAGTGAATACATTATTATTGATGGTAGGCCATACAACACAGTCAACTCCATCATGCTTTGGATGGACATCCTGAAAAATCACCAAGAGGTCTGCAAGTTTAGAATCCAAGATGCCACCTTCCAACGAAGAAAAAAGACCACGATTCCAAGTCCCCATATTCCCCACCCAATTCCCATATTCCTTAACTGTACCAAGTTTAAAGGTTGATGCTTCGAAGACTGAAAGAAATAGTCTAGACAAAGTAGAATTTCCAAGCCATCTAGCGGGCCAGAATGGAATATCGCTACCGTTACCAAGTCTGCAGGAAACAATCTTTGAGAAATAACTTTTATGATGTCCATGGAGTTTGGTAATATTATCGCAAAATTTAACATCTTTGATGCAATGAGACATCCCATGGAAGAGCATTCAGTATTTCAGATTGAGTTACTTTCTGACTTAGTAGACGATACACTCCCCGAGTTTTTATCTGATTTTCCGTCTTTACTAGACTATGATGATACTTTCTCCTGTGATGTATGCACTGACACTAATGTTTGCTCTATTTGTGCCGAGATAAATGCTGCATTGCAGGCTAATATTTTGCAGGTGGATACGGTTACCAATGAAGTGATTTGTGCAATTGAGGCTTTGGACGTCCCTGCTGCCCCGACCGTCCCATCCATTGAGCAACCCCTTTCTTTAGAACTCAAACCTCTCCCAGAAAGTCTCAAATATGCCTACTTAGACATAAATGAGAAGGTCCCTGTTATTATTTCAGCTAACCTTGATTTTGATCAAGAAATTAGGCTTTTGTAGGTTTTAAAGAGGCACAAAAAGGCAATAGGGTGGACCTTGGTAGACATTCCAGGTATTAGCCCTGCTAGGTGCATGCATCAGATTCTACTGGAAGAAGGAGCTAAGGTAGTAAGGCAGCCCCAAAGGAGACTTAATCCATTAATTCTTGATGTGGTGAAGAAAGAGGTCACCAAGCTATTAGAAGCAGGTATCATATATCATATCTCTGATAGTAACTAGGTGAGCCCAGTGCAGGTTGTACCAAAGAAATCTGGACTTACTGTGATAAAAAATGAAAGGACGAACTTGTTCCCACTAGAGTTCAGAATAGCTGGCGAGTTTGTATTGATTATAGGAGATTGAACTAGGAAACTAGAAAGGATCACTTTCCCTTGTCATTCATTGATCAAATGCTCGAGCGGCTCGCAGGTAAATCACATTATTATTTTCTTGATGGTTTTTCAGGTTACTTTCAAATTCATATTGCACCTGAAGACCAAGAAAAGACTACTTTCATGTGCCCTTTTGGTACATTTGCTTACAGGAGGATGCCTTTTGGCCTTTGCAATGCTCCTGGCACTTTCCAGCAATGCATGATTAGCATTTTCTCTGATTTTATTGAAAATTGTATGGAAGTATTTATGGATGATTTCACTGTTTATGGCTCTTCTTTTGATGCATGTTTAAACAGTTTAAATATGGTTTTAGAGAGATGCATCGAAACTGACCTTGTTCTAAATTATGAAAAATGCCACTTTATGGTGGAGCAGGGAATTGTTTTAGGACACATAATTTCTGAAAAAGGAATTCCAGTTGAC